GCAGCTTTTAATCATGTTAGTGAACAATAACACCGATGCAACAACATTTTAGATGTATAGAGAAAACAAACGGAATTAAAAAAGTACTATTATATACAACAGTATTTAATATAAATTAAACAATATATAAATAGTGAAATGTAAATAAAGTTATAAAATAACAAATAACCATAAACCCCTATTTATAATGTTCTAAATTATATAATTTTAGGTATTAAATGCTAGGCAGCATTTATAATTAAAGTTTTTTTTTTTTTAATATATTTTCTTTTATTTCAGCTTTAATTCACTTAACAAATGGTTTTTAATAATTTCTGTTTTGTACAGACAAAACAAACCAAAAACTGATCAAATAATAATAATATTTACAACCGTATTCTTTTAATTAGTTACTTAAATTAGTACTTAAACAAGTTAATAGTAACAAGTCAATAAACAGTAATAAAATAATAAACGATTTTTTGGTATTGTGAATTATACATAATTCTTAAAAGGAAAAAAAAGAAAGCTTTTGGCAAAAGTGATGCATGATTGAGCAACAGGCCAGAAATAAAAGGTTCATAAGACAAAGTCAGTGAATGTGAATGTCACGGTCTTGTCAGCAGATTATAGTTGCTATAATGCCAGCTGCATGACTAACATGCGTAAGGTTAGGGTTTGAACACAAACTCTAGTGTGTGCTCCTCTGATAACAGGCCTGTGTTTTGTGTTATTGCAGGTGTGTTTCAGTGATCAGCTGACTGTGCGCCCCCTGGTGGCGTGGAGTTTCGCGAGCCGGGCCGCAAGGGACGGGTCTTGTTGGATGCAGATGGCCAGAGACCGAGAGCGATTCAGAAGAAGAGCGGAGAGCATCGAGACGCTCCTTAAGCCCTGCCTGACGGCTGAACACAGAGCCGGAGTGTGGGAGAGACTTCAGAGAAAAACATCCTCTTAATACTTCATCCTCCAGCTTAATGTAGCATCATCATAATGTAGCATTTGATCTAGATGTTGGTGTAGTTTTTGGTGCTTTTAGTTTTGTGTGTAATTACTGTATAAGTTCTATTGTTACAATAGCATGGTGCACTTTATTTTTATGTCTTTGTCTTATTGGGATTTAATTTTGTGTTTTGCACATCTATAATTTTATTGTACTACAAAACACTGTAATTCTAAGACATTGCGTATTTTATGGCAGCTGAAAAATATTAAACTTTTCTGTTTCTTGCTTCTGTTCTTGTTTGTGAGTTATAATATTTCAACGTGTAAACATTTTTTGCACTAGTTCACCCAAAAATAATGTAAAAAGTTGCTAAAACTTTACCCCTCCTCAGGGCATCTGAGATGTAGAGGAGTTTGTTTCTTCATCAGATTTGTAGAAATGTAGCATTGCATCAGTGTCTCAGCAATGGATCCTCTGCAGTGAATGGGTGCCGTCAGAATGAGAGTCCAAACAGCTGATAAACACATCACCGTAATCCACAGCACTCCAGTCCATCAGTTAACAATCAATCATTGAGATGTTTTAACCTTTAAACTGCTGCTTCTGGCCAAAATGAGAGTCCATAATCCATTATTTTGCTTCCTCTAGTGATAAAGTCCATCCTGTTGTTGCTCTATTAAAAGACACAGACATATTTGTTTTTGGACTGTTTTGGCTCTGCTTGATCTGTGCAGATTTCTCTCCTGATTCAGACGAGATGACTTTTTCACTGGAGAAAGCATTATGGATAGAAGACTCGTATTTGAAGTTAAAAAAGCCTTAATGATGGATTTATTTCTTACAAACATGCAGCTTGTCGCTTCACAAGACATTTATTGATAGACTGGCATCTTGTGGATTATTGTGATGTTTTTATCAGATGTTTGGACTCTCATTCTGAAGGCACCCATTCACTGCAGAGGATTCACTGGTGAGCAAGTGATGCAATGCTACATTTCTCAAAATCTGATGAAGAAACAAACTCATCTACATCTTGGATGGTCTGAGGGTGAGCACATTTTCAGCAAATTGTAATTTTTAGGTGAACTATTCATTTAAATATTTTTGCATGTTGACAAATAAAATGTATATGAACTTGACATATTACAAATATTGCTTAAATAGGTCTTTGGTGAGATATAGCATGTTATACAACAGGACAGGCTAGAAAATGTCTACTACAAATATAAACACATTCTATGCAGCCATTCACAACAATGTCACCTTTCCACCACAGTATCAATACGTTTAGAAATGTTAGAACGTGTTTTAGAAGGGTTAGGTGCTTGTTTAAGCATGAACATATTAAGAAAGACTGTTCAAACATGTTAAGTTGCAGCATGTTTTTATTAAATAAGGTGTAAAAATACAGTCAAACTCTGGTTACAAAACCATTATTTAGTGGTAGTTACAAAATTATTAATCGGTTACAAGTCACAAAATAAATAGTCTTTGTATACTTGGTCCCTGTGTTGCATCTGGGTCCGGGGGACAAAGACCGAAAACACACACACACGTTTGTTTCTGTGAATTGTGGGGACTTTCCATAGACTTCTATTACTTTTATACTGACTAAACAATATTTTTTATCCCCTAACCCTAAACCTACTCCTTACAGAAAACCTGTTTGCATTGTTACACTTTCAGATAAACATCATTTACTATTTGTAATAATTTTGGGGACAGGCAATGTCAAAAATTTCAGGTTTTACTATCCTTGTGGGGACATTTGGTCCCCACAATTTAGCATAAACAAGTACACACACACGCACACACACTCTCTCTCACACACACACTCACACTTCACTCACACACACACACACACTCTCTCACACACACACACACACACACTCTCTCTCTCACACACACACTCTCTCTCACACACTCACTCTCTCACACACACACTCTCTCACACACACACACACACAC